CCCTTCTTCTCCTGTGTCTCTGCTTGGATTTCCTGCCTGCCTCTATCTTGCCTTGCCATAGGCCAAAGCAGCTTTATTGATCAACCAATGAGAGCAACACATATTCATAGCATACAAAAAAAAAATCCCACAACACACCAACATATAACAAATATTAGAAATAATTTTTTAATGAAAAGAGAAAATTCACCCCAAATGTCCCTGCTCTACACAAAAACTGAATTCATTTTTGCTCATTTTCTTCTGGTCTCTGATTTGCATTTGTCTTTTTTAAGCTCTAGTCATTGTATGCAGTTTGAACGGTGCTGTTTCATTTAATAAGCAAGTCCGTGGCTCCACACAGTCTGCATAACGATCGAGGCGCATGGCTCAGCAGTACTACCACAAGGAAACTTGAGGTGGCTTAGTTAACTATTCCCAGTGCTCCACGAGGCAGCTTCCAAGTTTTCAGCATTACACAGTGTGCACCTTCCCACCAGGGCTGTCCCTGTCATCGGACTACTTCCTCAGCATAGGAGTGAAATCACTGGACCAAAATTTCAAAGGGTGTGGGTGTGTGTGTATTGTGTATGTATGTGTGTGCATTGTGGATATGTATATGTAAGTGTGGATTGTATGTGTTGTATGTGTGTATTGTGTGTATGTGTTGTGGGTATATGTGTGTATTGCATGTATGTGTATATATGTATGTGTGTTGTATATGTATGTGAGTATTGTGTGTGTTGTATATGTGTATTGTGTGTATGTGTTGTGGGTGTATGTGTGTGTTGTATGTGTGTATTGTGTGTGTTGTATGTGTGTATTGTATGTATGTGTTGTGGATGTATGTGTGTATATTGTATATATGTGTGTTGTATATGTGTATACATGTATGTGTTATATGTGTACTTGTGCGTGTGTGCATGGCTTGCATGTGGAAGTCAGAACAACTTTCCGAAGTGAGCACTTTCCTCTCCCCATGGGTCCTGGTAATCAAATTCAGGTCATCGTGCTTGGTGGCAAGCACCTTCAGTTATGGAACCATTTCATCCTCCCTTTTAAAATTTGGACTTTTTTTTTTAATGTGTTTTGTGTCGGTTCATGTGCACGCCATGGGTTGAAGACAACTTGCAGTGGTCAGCTCTCTCCTTCCTCCATTTGGGCTCCAGGTACTGAACTGGGTCACCAGGTTTGGTGGCAAGTGCTCATTCCTGCTGAGTCATCTTTCCGGTCCCTCCCTTGCTCTCTGGCAGACATTTTGTTTGAGCTTCAGGAAGCTGAGTAGCAATCTCCTAAGGGACTGGACAGAGTCTCCTGCTGCTCACGCGTGCTCTAAGAGAGGGCCCCTCCTCCTCATGGATGCCACCTGCGTGGTACTCCATTCTGAGTCAATTGACTTGTGACTGTCAGAGTCACTCCACCTGGGCTGTCACTTCTTTCCCCATCTGCAGTGACAACAGAAAGTCCTTTATGGACTATGTGAGGGAGTTTCACATACTCGGGACCAGGGATGGGCGTTCATGTTCCTCTTTTGTTCACTGAAGTGTTTGTCTCCCACCTCAACCCCAATGACCCTGCCTCCAAAGGAAACCCAAAGCAAAGTCCCATTCTGATAGAGAAGACACAATTCAGGCCACAGCAACAGAGTCAAGTTCCTTCTGAGGCTCAAGAAACTCTGGTTTAGCTTTCAGAGGCTACCTGCACTCCCCTTAAACTGCCACCACTGTTGTATCTTCATATCACCTCCCCACCCCCACCCCCGTCGCACTGACTGACCACTCACCTGCCTCACACAAGAACCCTCGAGGTGACATTGGACCCACTTGGATAAGTCAAGACAAACACTTAGAGAAACACAACACACGTATATACACATACAGCATACACACATCACACACAACAAATATACATGAGAGAGGTTCATTCTATAAGTTCTGCTACTCTAGAGAACCCTGACTAACAGTCATGCAGAGATTTGCCAGCTCCATCCAGAGCCTGGTCTGATATGCAACCTGAGAGGAGCAAGAACCTCTGCGCAAGCTATCGTCTCTTCCAGCACTCATGAAAAGGTATCCTTTGTCCTTTAAGGTACATGATGACATTCTCAGTCCCAGCATGTTCAAAACATCATCCTGACTCAGTCTGTGTCCAAGAAAGAGTCCTTTGTCCCTTTTCTTGCTGTTGGCATTAGCAGCCTGTCTAGGACAGCATGCCAGAGAAAGATGAGCTGGATTCATATTCCTGTTCTGCCGCGCTGTGCAACTATGTAACTCTGCTTCTGGTCTCTTCCAAGCTGGAGCTGACAGAATTCTGTTCACTAGGATTGCTGTGGGCACCTGTATAAACTAACAACACAGTAGGCTCCTGGTAAGTCTTCAGGGACTCATGAGCTAGAAGTGACTCACTTCCTTGCACTATAGAGGCTCAGGTCTATTGGTGAGACGCTGGTTCAAGCCACTCCAGTCTTGTCTGCCTTTGTACATGTTCATGCAGCGCTTGCTCAACAAGTGGGTTCTGAACACCTGGCACAGGCCCCAGATGTATCTGAGTTCAGTCAGGGAAATAGGTAAATACATCTACAGTAGAATACCAGGAAGGAGGAAGTGCAGGGCTCAGAAAAGGTGGGGCGATTAAGGAGGGGGACAGGAGTTAGCTGAGCAAGGAACGGATGTTACTTCTCTTGAAGAAAACCACCACCTGGCGTGTTTTTGTTTTTGTTTTTTAATTTATTTTGAAACAGAGTTTCTCTGTAGCCTTAGCTGTCTTGGAACTCTAGACGAGACTGGCCTCGAACTCACATATCTGCCTGTTAGGATTCAGACATTAGGCTGGCCGGCCTTGTCACCTGGCAGGATGCACTCAGGCAGTACCCTGGCCAGTCCAGGGTCCTAAGGCTGCTATGTCCCTAAGAAGTCTGTATGCAGGTGCAAAAGGTCCCTTTAAGAGATAAACTCCAAGCCGGGCGATGGTGGCGCATGCCTTTAATCCCAGCACTCGGGAGGCAGAGGCAGAGACAGGGGGATCTCTGTGAGTCCTGTCTCGAAACCTGACCACCCCCACCCCCCAAAAAAAGAGAGACAAGTGTTTAATTGGGGGCCTTCACCCCAGCCCCTGGCATCCGTTTTTTGTTGGGTGGAAAACTCTATTCCAAGTCTCCTCCCCTGGGAGTGGCCACAGTCCAGACTCCACCTCCAAGAAAGCATGCCAAAAAGTGATCCCTCCCCAGGGAGGGTCAAAACCACTCCCACAGGCTATTTAAACTGCCCCCCAGGGCGTGAACACGTGGTCTTCTGTTTTTCTGTGGTCTTCCCGTTCTCAGTTCATTTTCGGGACGGGGCATCCGGGAGTGCTGGCACCCATTAAACCTGGACATCTTCTAATTTGGTCTGATTGGGATTATTGCATTGGCAGAGAGGGTTGTCGGCCAAGGAAAAATACTTAACAAGCTTCACCTGTCCCCGCTTTCTTCCCTCTTTTTCTGAAGAGGCAAGCAGGTCTCTATCTCTCTCTTTTCTTCCCTTTACCCTTTACTCGATAAACTCCTCACTTAAGCTCTGTCTGCAGACCGTGAGGCCTCTGGCTCTCAACCTGCCAAGGTCTCTTGCTCTCAGAATCGCCTGGGCTCTCAGTGGTCGTGGTTTGAACCCACCCGTGGCTTGGTCCATTTCGCCCAGGAATCATTACATCGCCTGCCTCTACCTCCTGAGTGCAGTGATTAAAGGTATGTGCCACCACCTACCATTGCCCAATATCCACGGGTCTGGCGCAGATTTTTGTTTGATTGAGGTTGGCTGTCCTGGAACTATGTAGACCAGGCCTTTCTCTGTCCTAGAGGACTGAGATTTAAGCCGGCCTGGAGCATTTTTTTGTTTTGTTTTGTTTTTGTTTTTCGAGACAGGGTTTCTCTGTGGCTTTGGAGCCTGTCCTGGAACTAGCTCTTGGAGACCAGGCTGGTCTCGAACTCACAGAGATCCTCCTGCCTCTGCCTCCCGAGTGCTGGGATTAAAGGCGTGCGCCACCACCGCCCGGCTTTAAGCATATTTTTTAAAGATTTATTTATTTTTATATACATTGGTGTATTACCTGCTTGTGTGTCAGTGTGAAGGTGTCCTCAGATTCTCTGGAGCTGGAGTTATAGACAGTTGTGAGCTGCCATGTGGGTGCTGGGTATTGAACCTGGGTCCTTTGGAAGAATAGCCAGTGCTCTTAACTGCTGAGCCATCTCTCCAGCCCCTGAAGCATATTTTTACAGCATCAAATAAATGACATTTTAAAAAATTAGGAGCAGGAAGAGTGCCGCTAAGTCCATTGGCCACGTGGTGTAATCTACACCTCTAACTACCCGCAAGCCCTAGTGCATGCAGCAGGCAGGTCGGGTCATTTACATTCCGTCACGGTTCAGGGAATAGGCGCCGCGCACTAGTACTTCTGACCCTCAAGTGCCCAAATGAATGGAAACAATCCGGTTGGCCGCGCGCCAGACCTGGGACACAGACACTGGCACCGTGACCAATCAGGGAAGAGCTTGGACCTCTTTTGGCCCGCCCTCAGGTCGTGCCCCCCGCCAATGAGCGACGGCCGCCCCGTCTGGCCCGCGCGCTCGCACGGCTGTCTGCGCATGGGGCTGCCAATAAAGTTCTCCGCGGCTTTGAATTTTTTTTTTCTTAAAGAGCCCGCTACGGTCACGGCGCAGGCCCCGCCCCGCCACTTCCGGTGCCGCCGCCGGGAGCCGGTGCGGCTGTGAAGGCTGGAGCTTCTTGCTGCCGCCGCTCGTCGGGCATGGTGTTGGATGCCGGCCCGCCTCGCCTGACTCGCGGTGCTCAGGTGAGCCGGTCGCGCGGGCAGAGCTGCGACCGCGGCTCCTCTCGTCGGGCGCCGGGCGGGGGCCGCGAGGTCGGCGGCTGACGGGAAGCTCTGGGCGGGCAGCGAGCCCCCGCGGCTCTGTGGGCCGGGCCGAGGCGGACCCCGTGCCGCCGCCGGCAAGGTCACGGTGCGGAACTCGGACCCCACTGGGAGCCCGAGGCCGCGCCGGGCAGGCCGCTGCTCCTGGGAGGCGGACGCGGCTGGCGACCGCGGCAGCGGGGAGGAGGGGCGGCCGGTCCCGCCTGGTTCGGTTCGGTCCTTGACCCGGTTCCGCGGTGTGTTGTCTCGGGTGTGGCCTTCTCTCTGGCAGGCTCAGTTTCCTCTGTCTCGGGTGGGCACTGGACCCGCCCATCGGCCCTGCCGGTGGGTCAGAGTGGCCAGAGAGGGCTTCGCTTGGCCTGTAGGTAGAAATTGGCTCTCCATGAGTACCTTGGTAGGGCTAGATGGTAAAGGGAAGGAGGGCATCCCACTGTCAGGTTAAGCAGAGGTTCCAGAAATGAGCAGGGTGGTGCTATACAGTGAGGCGGCTGGTGGGCCTGCTGCCCCGGCTTTCTAGCTGGTGCGGCAGGAGCTTGGCAGTGGGAGAGAGACTCGGTGAAAATGAAGAGCGCTACTAGTGATGGGGGACAGGAACCTCACCTGGCCGGAACTACCAGGCATTCGGTATCCGAGATCAGAGATGGGCTCCAGAGGTGCTCAGTCAATAAACCTGGTAGGCGAGAGACCCCTGGGCACTGGCATGCTATGCTGTACGGTACTGGGTTGTGGATCTTTTGATCTCCTCGTCTGTCCTTAGGCTGCGGAGGTTAAATAAGTGTCCTAGTGACCTGTAGTTCTCACTTAAATGCCTGCATTGGGACTTGGATTGGAACGGTCAGTGAGGAGTTAGTCTCACCTTGAGCTGACTAGCCCCGCGCAGGTGACAGTGGCCCGATTTCACCAGAGCACACGCGAATGCTGAGTAAACAGGACTTGATGAGACTGGTAAATAACAGGCTGGAGTCTTCTTTGGTGAAGAGCCTGAAAGCCGGTCCCACCCAGAGGAGGAACTAACCAGGCCCATTACAACTTGTGGAATTTGGAGACCGAGCACGCTGTTCAGAATAGCTGGTCTGTTCCCAGAATACTGCCTTAGTCACAGTGGGATTTTTCGAGAAACGGGAAGTTTGGGTAAAACTCGGGTTTTACCCAGAGGTACGACGTATTGAGGAGAGAAAGAATTCTGGGGCCACTGCAGGTAGTCTGCCAGCCTTTAGGTGGTGTGAGTGATTATTCTTGTTTTAACTTTCTGATTATGGGAAGATTTCTGAATTGAGCCTGGTTCTCCCTGTGGCATGTGAAAGTGATACAGATGCTAGAAAAATTGGTGGCGGCTCTAGTCTTTTGGGCCTTAGACTATCAGAAAGCACGTGTTTTCTACCCTTCACGGCCTTGGCACGTGTTTTATTATAAGTGCGGTGACTGAGGATTACACCTTGCAGAGCAGATCATACCCACCCTCTGCCTCAGAGAAGCGTCAAGCACGGTAGCCCTGTGTTGAAGGCCTGCCTCTTGCCAGGCCTCTGAGCAGTGCAGCTCCTCCATGTGGGGTGGCTTGTGCCCTGGCTTCATTTTCCACAAGTCTCTTGTGACCACTAGGGGACTGCCTACTAAACTATTGATCACTGCTTTTAGTTTTCCCCTTTCACCGTTGGCCTTACTGACACACCGGAGGTGAGGATCTGCTGATCCACATAGGGTGCTTCCCGCACCCCTCCCTGACCCCCAGGGGTAGGTAGGCCTATAATCCTGACATTGTCAGGGACCCCTAATGTCCCCAGGGCTGAGCACATAGCTGTAGTTATTTCACTTGTATTTTAATAACTAAAGCTTGCCTGAAGATCAGAGAGTAAAACAGCTACATTGGCCAGCCTTACAGATCAGGGTGGTAGCGCCCACCTTTAGTCCCAGAAGCCACACTAGTTTGTCATAGAAACCTGGCGGTACATTCCTTTCATCCCAGTGGTGCACGCCTTTAATCCCAGCCCTAGAGAGAAATATAAGATGGGAGGAGACAGCTCACAAACACAGGCTCTTTTTGAGATTTCTGGAGGCAGGATTGCCATTTTCAGACTGAAGTCAAGGTTAGACCCAGTGGGTGGCTGTTTTGCTTTTCTGACCTTCAGATTGAACCCCAATTTCTGAGTTTTTATTAAGACAAAAGGGTGTCTTTTAATAAATTAGACTTGCCTGAGGATCAGAAAAGTAAACCACAGTGGCGAGCCTTACTGATCAGACAGCAGTGGTATACACCTTTAATCCCAGTAGCCACACTAGTTTGCCACAGAAACCAGGCGATAGTGGTACACACCTTTAATCCCAGGGTCATAAAACGGGAGGAGACAGCTCTCAGGCTCAGTCTCATTCTGAGATTCCTGGAGGTAGAAAAACCATTTTCTGACTAAGGCTGAGGTAAATAAGAGTCAATGGCCAGCTGCTTTGCTTTTCTGGTTTTCAGGTTGAACCCTAGTTTCTTTCTCTTGAGTTATTATTAATCTTGCTTCACATAGTGGTAGAGTTGGACTTGGCTAGGGTGGCGAACACTATCTCATGACCCTATTTAAGAAATTCCTGACAAGTTCATTCCAACTGGGGGCCAAGGCAGCAAAGCATTGCTATGTTCAGCTGTTTGGTAGCTTGTGGGCTGAATGAAGCCTCCCTGGGGGAAGTGACTTAGCGGTTGAGCTCTATGCCTGAAGTAAAAACTTGAAGATGCCTGTGTTCATAGTAGGCTCATCTCTTCATGTAGATAACCCCGAGGAGAAGGCATTATAGAGTGGGGCTGAAGAAACAGGTGCTAATGTGCTTTCAGATGTCTGCCGGCTCTGTTGAGGTGTGGCTGAACTGCCCCTTCACTTCATGATTGATCAGTGTGTAAACCTGACACCATGTCCACACTTAGCACATCTTCCGGAGGTTACCGTGGTGAGTGCTTGTAGCTTAGTGACTTGGTCACTCACCCTCTGTTGCGGCCACCCCCGTCCCGCAAGGATGACGCGACCACCGGAGCTCTTCTCACTGCAGTTTATTCCAGGACTTTATTCACTTTCTCTTTTCCCCTCTTTCTCTTTCCCCTTTCTCCGGGCAAAACTCTCCCAGCCCTTAAGTAGGCCTGGGCTGCCAATCCCGGATTGCCAGGTGGGCATTGCCCATAGGCCCACGCATATGCAAGCAGCTGATGATCATTGCGTGATCAGGCATAAGTCAGACTTTAGCCATAGGAGTTGATTATACATCTCCATCAGGTGTGGCTCTATGCTGCTCGCTACAACCCTCCACACCTGTTGTTCCAGGGTCCATGTGGGCATGCACCTGTGCAAGGGGGGGGGGCGGGTAGGGGGAGATAGAGTGAGAACGAGCAACCTTGTGTTAGGAATCTTTCCCAGATTTCAATGCTATGAGTTTATCCATACTAACATGCAATACAAGAATTGTTTGGTGCATTTAGACAAATATTACTTTTTGTTTTAGTATTTTTATTTATTTTGCTTGTTGGTACATAATATCCCTTTGTAGCTCAGGCTAACCTCCAACTGATAATCTTCCTGCCTCAACCTCCCAAATAGTGTTGTTATAGGAATGTGCCCCATACCCAGTGTGACCAGTCCTCACTATGGCAGGGCATGTACAGTTTGGAAGATCGTATTCACTGTCTTGTTTTTGTGATATGTGGTACAAAATGCATTCTGACCATCACTAGGGATACACAAAAGATGGCATGAGAAACTAGGCAAAAGACCTGGGTTTGAGTTTTTTTTTTTTGTTTTTTGTTTTTTTGAAATACCAGAGAAGAGATGAACATCCTTTTTTTCAGGGTCTTAGCTTTTCGTCTGGAAAATTTTAGATCCTTTTTGATAGAAAAATTATCAAACCAGTATTGAAAAGAAGTAATTTTAAAATAAGAAAGGAAGTTAGGCAAATTGAACTGTTTACTTAGTCTTGCTAGAGTCCCTCTCTGTATGAGGAATTCTGACTGATGGAAGTGTGTGATAGAAACAGAAGGCAGGGGGCTGAGAGATGGCTCAGTGATTAAGAGCATTGCCTGCTCTTCCAAAGGTCCTGAGTTCAATTCCCAGCAACCACATGGTGGCTCACAACCATCTGTAAAGAGGTCTGGCGCCCTCTTCTGGCCTTCAGGCATACAGGCAGACTATTGTATACATAATAAATAAATAAATTAAAAAAAAAAGAAACAGAAGGCAGACTCTGGAGGTAGGAATTGCTGACATCTTAGTGTGAATTGTGCTCTGGGTGAAGCCTTCACACAGGTTCAACAGTTAGAACACATAAAGCCTCTTATAGGGAATGCTGATCATGGCAATGGGGAGAGGAGTGCATGGGAAGTGCCTGTACCTTCTGCCCGACAATTCTGTTGCTCCAGTGCTGCTTTTAGAATAAACAACTGAAGGCTTAGGGAGTGGGTGGCAGTTCTTTCATCGCTTATGCAGGCGGTCGAGAGCATTACCTCACCTGCCTTTGGATTTTGCTGTCCTTCCCAGGGAGTTTGCAGCAGGAGAACCTGAAAGTCACAGGGGCTGGAAGCAGCCACTGAAGACAGTCCAGTTTGGGGTATTATAATTTTCACTTCATGTTGACATTGCAAAGCAGTAAATGCAACAGTCCTTTGAAGGCTCTGTACACTTCCCTCTAAGGGAGAAGGAAAGCAAAGCATCAGATGTCACTTCTGCCCTAGAGACTTCTGCTCCCAGGCTACACCTGGATCCCATTGCTTCGGGGACAGTTACTTCATTTGACACAGTGGGGTTAGTGAATGAGTGCCAGCTGGGAAGCTTGGAGATGGGTGGGGCTAGATTGTGACTGAACTCTGTGCCTAGTGAGTATGAAACTCGTGGCTTCCCTAAACTTACAAAGAATCACATGGCTTATTCAGATTTATTGTGAAGGAATCCAGTTTTGTTAATCTGTAGAAATTTTCTGCACATTTTAGAGAAAATAAACCTGTCTATCTTCTGTCTAGTTGTTGTTTGGAGACATGGTCCTTACTTAGCCCTACTCTTGCCTGTCTTCCAGAAGAAAGGTGGCAGTAATGCTAACGCTGGCAAGCAAGCTGAAGCGGGATGATGGTCTCAAAGGATCCCGGACATCTGCCTCCACATCTGACTCTACTCGACGGGTCTCTGTGAGAGACAAGTTGCTTGTAAAAGGTAAATCACCCTTTATGGAAGCTGACTTTATACCCTGTAACAAAGCAAAGCTTGCCCAGAGGCTCTTTGGGGATGGATATAAAGTAGCCTGTTAAATGGAAATATTTCTTTAAAATGATCTGAACATATGAGTATCAGGTATGCTTTTAATCCCAGGACTCTGGAGGAAGAGGCAGGTAGATCTTTGAGTTTAAGGCCAACCTGGTCTATAAAATGAGTTTCAATACAGCCAGAGTTGTATGGAGAGACCCTGTTCCAAAAAAATAAAAATAAAATGAAATTGTTACCTACAGAGGCAGGATTTATACCAGACAAAGGATAGATTGTGATCGCAAGGAGATGGTGTTAGAACTGTGGTGTCTGACACACCAGGAATATTCTTTGTTGGTGTTGCTGCTGTGCTGTGGAAAGAAGAGACAGTAGAAGTTGGCAGGCCTGAGGCATGTGGGCTGCTGTTACTTTCCTCTACTGTCCTCTTTCCTGTGGAATGCACAGCAGTTTCCATCCTGGAACAGGTAATGTCTTGATCCTTTCCTGGTTCATACAGCGCACAGCCTAAGGAGTCTTGTGAAAAGCTGGTGTCTTCACAGAATTCTCATCGTGCACCTGCACACCAACACACACAAGTACTGTATGAACTGGTAATAATGCATATTGTAATTTTGTTATTAGAATTCACAGAATTGTCATTAAAATTGTGTCCTAAGGTTATAGTCGCTGTTCACTCCTGCCCTCCTTGAGCCCACCAGGCATCTTAGAGCATCTTAGGGATAATGTGTCTATGTGTGATTGGGCCCTCACAACCTACCAAGACTCCCACGTGCCCCTGTGCTAATGTGGCTCCTGATGGGGAGAGAGGTCCCCAACTCTGTTCCCAGTGCTAGCCTTCTATTCTAATCTCTGGTGAGTGGGTCAGGGTTCAACTTGCCACATTGCCAAGGTTGTCACAGCCTTTGACAGCATGTGAATCTGCGGGGTAACCTAACAAGGAGTCCTGCTAACAGTCAACTAGGGGGGCAGCTATCTAAGCACACATCGCCTTATGTCTTCTGTTGAAGGGTAAACACCAGTGAGGCTGTTCAGGGAACCTGGATAGTCATCACAAGTATATCAAACAGCCTAAGGGGGCAAGAGGGCCCGTTGAAGCCATAGATAGGCGCTCAGCTTGTTATTTTCTGTGCCCATGTCAAAAGTAGGTGGCATGAAGTCCAGAGCTACATTCTTCACAATACTAGGCCTTTGTTAGAGGAACTGTTTTTTCAGAGTTGTAGCTTGCGTTTTAGAGTGGCTCTAGAACACCTTTGGTGAGTAAGTTAGCTATATCTGTGCTCTCTAGAGGGCCTGAGACCCATGTCCTGGAAATGAAGGGCTCAGCTTCCTATACTTGCTGTAGTCTGAAACTGAAACTCAGTTCTGCTAAGAAGCATGTGTGTCTGACTGGACTGGCTGTTTATCTTAACTTCTTAGGCCGCTATAACAAACCACTGCAGATTGGGTAACATGAGCCACACATTTCTCATAGTTCTAGAGGCTGATTTGATGCCCAAGATCAAGTCTTAGTGAGGTCTTTTTGGTTTGTAAACAAATGGCTCCTTGCTTGTGTCCTCACCCAACAGAGAAATGAAGGAGGTGCCTGGGGAGAATGCTTCTACTGAGGACACTGACCTCATGTGGGAGGTCTGCCAAGACAGCCTAATGACTTCCAAGTGCCACTTCATTAGAGCATAGAGCTTCAGTATATGAAGGGAAAAGGGACACAAATTCAGGCCATAGTATCTTTGGGATTCTTCCTCGGTCACAGGCCACATGAGGAGAAAAGTTCTCAATATCTCAAGATATTCACATACAGCAGGGGCCCTGCAAGTGTGTTTACATGCACCACATGAAGGTAGCAGATCTGGAGGATACAACTAGAGTTTAATGTTGTGAGCTGCCCAATGCAAGAGAAGGTGAGTGTGTGAGGTGTGGGGGCCATTGTGGTAACTGTGAATTTTGTAATCTGGTTATGATCATACTTCCAGGGGACTCTGGTTTGATCCTTACATAGAGAGGAAAAGAATTTAATTTCTCAGAAGGAAGTTATGCAGCCACTGAGTTACGTAAGATGCTAGTTGCCTCCCAGAAATGCTAAGCCACCTAGCAAAAGAGGTGTCGTTACCTTGTTAAAGCACTGTGCAGATTTGAAGGGGTGTTTTATCTTCTGCACTGGCTTAGACAAAGTGCCAGGCGTCTTTATTGAAATCCTATGTCCCAAGGATTCTTTTCCTTTACCTGCTCTGACAGGTGGAACAGAGAATTCCTGATATAGTCAGGAGGCTGTGTTTGGGGCTCTCTTCAGCCCTCTTACTTTCTTGGGTGAGTTACACTGAACATGATGAATATAAGCAGAACTTTTTAAGTTTGTTGATGTCATGTAAAATTAGAACTTTTTACTAAGTTTGTATAATGATATTAGATCATCTTTTTATGGGCAGTGGTCTAAAAGCAGTCTGAATGACTTGACCTCAAGATTTATATATTCAAATCTAAACATTTGGGTGATATTAGGAGAAAAATTATTTTTGGAGGTAATTCATGGAGGTGGAGTTGCTACAAATGGAGATCCTTTCCTACCATTTGCACATACAACAAGAATATACTATCTATGAGGGCCCTGAGCCCTCACCAGATTCAGAATCTGCTGCTGCTTTTGGTCTTGGCAGTCAGCTTTCAGAATTATGAAAAATAAGTGTCTGTTTACAAACCACCCACGCATAAGATATTTTTGTTATAAAACAGACCAAGAGTTAGAGAACAACACTAATTTAGGAACCTGGGCCTACTTAGGATTTTTAATAGTACTGGAATGATTGAGGACTGGGGCATCCAGTGTTTTAGAATCCCTATAGCTACTGGATTGTGGGGAAAATATATAGAACTCATATTATTTAAAAAATCGCTAAATCCTTTACACAGCAATCTTTACAGACTAATAATGGACAGCTATTTGAGAAGATCAATGTTATGGAAAGGGATAACATCAATTTGACAAAATTATCTGAAAGGATTTGTGCTGTTGAATTTAATAATCAGAATCTGAAAAGTTATGATAGATTAATGTATAAGATATCTCTCCAGGAAGGTAATATGCACACAATCAAAATTATGTCCAAGGATGAGACATTGTCTTTATTGGACAAGTTTCATACCTTGGAATCCTCAATGGGCATTAGAACAGAACACTGGACAGGAGATTTGGACTCTTAAAAAAGGCAGTAGTAAAAAGATACCCCTGGATGACTTACATAGAGTTTCAACTGCATATTCAGTAATTTCCTCAGAAAGACCATCTGGCACAAAGTACTCTAAGGTAGTCAAAGAATATGCATGGGAACCAATACATATGAGCGATCTAAAAGAAATAACACAAGCAATAGTTTCTTATTGACTACATTCATCTTTTGTCTGGAAAATGGTGAAAAACGTGAGCTTCAAGCACTCAGGCTACCCTAAATGATGAACTTCAGTTAATCTCAGTGGTCCTAGAAGAGGGACCTTGGCTGCTTTGGAAGTGTTACTGGAGAGAAGAGGCAAAATTTTTAGAGCAACAGAGGAAAGCAAAAAGATTTGAGACTTCCCAAGATCAAATTCTTGGTGAGGGTCATTACTCTGATCCTCAGGAACAGGCTCACTATGACAAATGCACCCTGTCCCTATATAGCACAGCAGCTTTAGATGCTTGATACAGGATTCAGTAACTAAGAAAGAGGATTGAGTCATATATTAGGGTTAAACAGGGCCAGAGTGAACCCTTTAGTGACTTCTTACAAAGATTAACTGAGGCTGTACAAGTAGGAATGATAGACCCTGGTGCTAGACGTGTACTAATTGAATCTTTGGCTTTTGAAAATGCCAACTTAGAATGTAAGACGATCCTTCGGCCTTTAAAGGTTATATCTGTACCCATAGATGAATGGATCTTGTATACAATGAATGTTGAACTATTTGACTATAGTATTGAAGCTTGGGTAGGAGAAGCAATTTCCAGTGGTAGTGATGAGGAGACATCAAAATGCCAAATGTTTTAATTGTGGTAGAATGGGATATCTATGAAGGGACTGTAGACAAGGAATTTCTAGAATCATGTCTATAGGAATGGCAAGAATAGGAGGACTTAGCCTTCTGGTATATGTAGGAAGTGTGGCAAAGACTGACATTAGGCTAATAAATGTAGGTTGACAAGAGACAGACAAGACCACCTGATACCACTGGGAAATTCCTTTAGGGGCCTCTTGCAGGCCCCCATGTCAAACAAGGTCCAGTCATTCCCAGCCACTGTGAAAAACATGTCTCACCAGGAAAATTAAACAATCCAGTGCCTGCTGTAAAAAAAAAACATACTGTTTAGATGATAGAATAGACATGGAGGATAAATCAAAAACTCCAGTAGGAAATAAGAAACGCATATTTTGGCAGGCTTCTATAAAATGATCAAAGACCAAAGCTGCTAGTGTGTATAAGTGACACATTGTAATTGAAGGATTACTAGACATGGGTGCAGACATGAGTATCATTACTCCAGAATCTTGGCATCCAGATTGGCCTCTTCAAGAGGCAGATATTCAATTCCTGGGAATTGGAACCCTATCTCAAGTGAAAAAAAAAAAAAAAGCATGAGGTGGGTTAAATACATAGGGCCAGAAGGACAGAAAGGAAGGCTTGAGGCCATATGAAGCTAATATAGCAGTGAATTAATGGGGTCATGACCTATTGCAGCAATGGAATGCCCAGGTTAACATTCCTGCAGTCCCCAAAACTCATATTTCTGGGAAGGATATTATATTATAAACAAAGATCACCAACCATTCAGGCTGTACAAGAACACAAAGCAACTAGCAAACCTTCAGAGGTACTACTGGCCTTGCCTTTAAAATGGTTAACTGAGAAACCCATGTGGGTTAAACAGTGGCCTTTAATGGAAGACAAACTTTAGAACAGCTGGTACAGGAGCAACTAGATGC